AATATGTGGTGAAGCTTTTACCTTTGTTCAAAAGGAGAGAATGTTACATTTCTTCTTGATTCTAGACGGCATCCAATGAGTTGTATTACCTTCCAGGTTATCAGGAAATGGCATCAACATAATTTCTTCCAACATAGTTAAAGGCAGTCATTACATTGAAGAGGAAAAGAGTTTCCCCTTAATTTTAGAACCAATGAATTATTGTCTCAAAATTGAAATCAACAGTCCAGCTTAAATTCTCTCTTAAGGGAAGAGTTGTAGCTAAGACTTCCAAGATCATTAGTAACTGGAAAGAATATCTGTTTTCTCTTAGGGAGGTATGGTAGTGTGTATCACAAAGTGCGTGTGCACCTCAATAATTTATCAATTTCTCGTTCATAACATTCAGGATCTATAACATTAATGGGAAAATACTGAATAAATTTAATATTTTATACATGCCAGGCAGTGGACTAAGTACTTTACATGAATATATTTTCAATCATCACCATCTCAGTAGACAAATATGCTGTTTTAGTCAATGTTATTGAAGTATAACCTACATACAGTAAGATGTGTCCATTTAAATTGTGCAGTTAAAAACAATAAATTGTGTAATTCAGTGAATTTTTGTAAATATATGCACCCAAGCAGTGGCCACCACAATAATGATATAGAATATCTCTATCACCACAAAGTGTTCTTTTGTGCCTCCTTTATAACCAATTCCTTGCCTCTACTCCAATGCCTCCAAACCACTAGTCTGTTTTACTATAATTTTATCTTTTCTGAAACTTCTTATAAGTGGAATTACTAAGTACATACTTTTTAAAATTTGTTTTTTTCCCACTTAACATAATGCATTGAGACTAATCTATATTTTTGTGTCAGTAATTCATTTCTTTTTACTGCTGAGTAATATTCCATTGTATGGATATACCATAATATGTTCATTCATTCATAGCTGATGGACTTTTGAGTTGTTTCCAGCTTTTGCCTATTATGGATAAAGCTGCTTAACAACAATGGACACAAAGGGGCACCTGGGTGGCTCAGTTGGTTAAGCATCTGACTTCGGCTCAGGTCATGATTTCACAGTTTTTGAGTTTGAGCCCTATGTTGGGCTCTGTGCTGACAGCTCAGAGTCTGGGGCCTGCTTCGGATTCTGTCTCTCTCTCTCTTTCTCCCTCCCTCTTCTCTCCCCCTCCCTTGCTCATGCTCTCTCTCTGTCTCAAAAATAAATAAACATTTAAAAAAATTACCCCCCTCCCAATAATGGACATATGTTTTCATTTCTGTTGTGTAAATACCTAAAAGGCATATTGGAAAGCTTGGAAGTGGGGGCCAAAAAGCATTTGGGGAGGTGGAAAAATATAGATGGAAAATGAAAACAAACAAACAAATGGAGAGAGAGAGAGAAAGGATCTCCTCAGGACCTCAGACTGGCCTCACAGTAGCCACTTTTTCCTTGAGACACGCAACAGGTCCTGGGTGGTGGTTACTGATGCTGTGTAGGTCAGTGGACCACCAGCCTTCTCAGGCTCTTCACAGACATTTGTTGCCATCGGAGATTACAATGAACACATCAGTCTGGATGTTAAATGTTCTAAGGAGGTAGCCACTGCCATTCATGGGTCCATCACCCTGGCCAAGCTTTCCATTGTCCCCGTGGGGCAAGGCTACTGGGGGAACAAGATTGGCAAGCCCCACACTGTCCCATGCAAGTTGACCGGCCGCTGAGGCTCTGTGCTAGTTCTCCTCATCCTCATCCCCAGAGGTGTTGGTGTTATCTCAGTCCCTATGCCCAAGAAGCCGATGCTGATGGCTGGCATCAAAGACTGCTACACCTCAGCCAGGGGCTGCATTGCCACCCTAGGCATTCACCATGGCCACTTTTGATGCCATTCCCAAGACCTACATCTATCTCCCCCTGACCTCTGGAAAGAGACTGTGTTCACCAAGTCTCTCTATCAGGAATTCATTGACTATCTTGTAAAGACCCACACCAGAGTCTCTGTGCAGGGGTATGGCCACCACCTAGGTTTATACAAGAAAAATAAAGTGAATTACAGCTCGTGAAAAAAAAAAACCCACAACAAAAACATATATACAACCATAAGAGAGGCATTGGTTTCTGTAGTGGTTGTACCATATTATAGTCTCAGCAGGTATGAGAGCTCCAAGTGCTCTTCATCATTGTCAACAGCACTTGGTCTGTTGGGAGTTTTTTATTGTTGTCAGTTTAGTGAGTAGGTACCTGTATCTAATCAGAATCTTCACTTGCACGTCTCTGATGTGGTATCCAATTTACATGGTGTCAACCATGAGTCTCACCTGCTGGTATTCATTCGTGTCTCTGTTTAGTCCAATCCCATAAAAAGTAGGGATGGCCTGTGGTAACAAATGGGCTATTGCAGGGATGCCTGGGTGGCTCAGTCAGTTAAGTGGCCGACTTTGACTTAGGTCATGATCTCACAGTTCATGAGTTCAAGCCCTGTGTCAGGCTCTGTGATGACAGTTCAGAGCCTGGAGCCTGCTTTGGTTTCTGTGTCTCTCACCCTCTGACCCACCTCTGCTCTCAAAAAGAAATGAACATTAAAAAGTTAAAAGAAAAAACAAGCTATTGCGGGAATGACAACCGAGTGACTTCTCTGAGGCAAGATCATGGGAAAGCCTATAGTTTCTGTGTTGCTCTCCCTTAGATCACTCACTCCGGGGAAAACCAGCTGCTATATTATGAGGACACTCAAGCAACTCTATGGAGAAGTTTCTGTCACAAGGGACTAGGGACACTTGCCAAGTGCTGGCACTAATTCGCTAGTCATGGGAGTGAGCAGTCAAATCTTCAGCTGTATCCCTAGCTGATAACCTGCCTGCAGACCCATTAGGGACGCCCTGAGACCGAACCACTCAGTTGAGGGATCCCTGGATGACTGTCCTACAGAAATTGTGTGAGGTAATGAAGGTTTATTGTTCTAAGTTTTGGGGTAGTTTGTTACTCAGCAATAGACAACCAGTACAGGTTTTGGTACTTTAAAATGGTCTGCTGCTGTAACAAACATTTAAACTGTAAGAATGGCTTTGCCACCAGGCAGTAGATTAAAAAATGGAAGGACTTTGATGAAAGCGTTAGTGGAAGTCTATTGATCAAACCATGATGGCTTTGGAGGAGTCCGCCAGCAAGGGCTTATGGGTAAATGTTGTTGGCATACTTCTGAGATGGTTCTGAAGATTCCTGCCCTGTTAATTCATATGTTTTGTACAATCACATCCTTTGAGTGTCATTAGAACCTGTTAACATGATGAAATATAACTTCCACGATTCTGTTGCATTCTATGGGGAAAAAAAAAAGATTTTGCAGTTGTAATTAAGGTCCCTAATCATTTGAGTCAATCAAAAGAGAAATTATGGAGGGGTAGGGCTGACCTCATCATATAGGCTCTTAAAAGAGACAAACAACAGCCTAAGATTTTCTCCTGCTGGCCCCCGGGGAAGTGAGCTAGCATATTTTGAGACGGCCCATGGACTGTGACATGTGGCAAACAGGAAACGACCAATGTTCTGCAGGCAGCATAGGGAAAGGTGCTGGTAGAAGGAACACCATGGGTAAAATCGGGAAGCTTGAAATTGTATAGTCTGTGAGTAGTCTAGCCAGTGGGAAGAGGGACAGAAGACACCATCTGGAAGGTGGGTACCATGATAAGGAGCTGGATTATCTCACATTTGCAGCAAAAGGGAATAATTTAAAGCAGGAAAGTGACATTACCACCATCTTTAGAGAACAGTTCCCGTGCACCAGGAACTAAGCTGAGAATGTGCATGCATCACTTCACTGAATCCGTAATAGTACCCAAACAAGTTACTATCATTACCCCAACTTAACAAGGGAGGAAACTCAATCTTGGAGAAGTTATGCCCAAATCTTGTAGGCAAAGCTTAGAATTTGAAACCTTAAAGGTATGCTGGGTAATTATTCCTAGATCACCCATCTAGATGAGAATAAAGAATGGTATGAAAATCGATTCAATAAAGGAAGACAAGGAGCCTACTAAAGCTATTACAAAGGGTTTGAGGGAAGATAGGCGCTAAGAAAAATTTCAAGCCTGGCTCTGCTATGTTCCCTTTAGCTTTTGTTTGGGACTTCTAGATGTGCGCACTTGTACCACCAAGAACAAGAGGAGCAATTCTGCAAATCGGTAATTTTTTAAAAAATATTTTTATTTATTTCTAGGAGAGAGAGAGAGAGAGACAGCGTGAGCAGGGGAGGGTCAGAGAGAGAGGGAGACACAGACTCTGAAATAGGCTCCAGGCTCTGAGCTGGCAGTCAGCACAGAGCCCGACGCGGGGCTCGAACCCACGAACCGCGAGATCATGACCTAAGCGAAAGTCGGACGCTAAACCGCTTAAGCCACCCAGGCGCCCCCGCAAATTGGTAATTTAAAAAATAATAATAGTAATTGCAGTAACTGTCAGTAACAAGTGGAGGACGCTAACTTTTACCTGGAGTAAGGGATCTTTGAAAGCCTTTTTCTATATCTTTCTTTAATAATCGTCTGATGCTGAGTCTGTTTTATAGAAATTCAAAATGTGTACAAATAGAACTAAGAGAAAACCCGAAAAGAACGCGAAACCGCAAGCCTGGTCCCCTTAAAGTAGTCCCGCCCCTTCACTAAGCCACGCCTCTTTGGGGCTAACCCTTTCGCCTCACCTGGCCACCACCCAGCGGCTCATCCAGGATCCCGCCCAGCCTCATTTGCTCGCGAGAGTTCCTTTATCGAGCCAAATCACAAGGCTGCCCCAGGAAACGGAGGCAGAGAAGAGTCGCGAGACTTGGCTAGACCACATCCCTCTCCAGACTCCTCCCCTCCTTCGCCGCGCACCTCCGGGCCCCTCTTCCTCGATTGCACGTGTAGTTGTTTTGGTTTCATCTCACGTGGCCGCGGAAGTGCCGGCGCTACAGGTCCGCCTCCAAGATGGCGGCACCCGGTGAAGGGGGTCGCTCTCCGCTTCTGCTCAGTATCGAATTATAGCCTTTGCGGTGTCTGCGGGGTCATGGAGCGGCCTGGGTTCACGGCTTCGCTGGTGGTGAGTGCTGGACGGTAGGGTGGGGCGCTCGGGGGGCCAGAGTCCCGCAGTGGAGCCCGTATTGGCTTCTGGCCCCTAGCACTTCCGTCCGGTTTTGCGCGTTGAACCGCCTTGGGGTCACTGGTCACCGGGCGAGCCCCGGAGGGAACGCGGGATTCCTGGGCCGCCGCCGGGCCTCGCGTCAAGGTTGTGCCCTTCCTGCCTTGGAAGAAGTTGTTCACGGGGCGTGCGGTGCTTGACAGTTTTCCTCATATTGGTTTACCTAAAGAAAGAATTTCAGTTCAACATTCTGGAGAGCTTGGGAATTAAGTATTTGTAACAAAAATAAACAAAAAGACAAAGCCAACAATAAAAAACGCTTGCATCTGTCAGATTCTTCCTGTCCAGGACTATGGTTTTTATTTAGCTGTATTTTTTTCATTCTCGGAAAATGACTTATTTGGCCTGTTTATTTTCTTTCAGTCATTCTTGTAGGCTTTGGGTATATTGATAAGCACAAATGATTATGGAGTCAATAAGATATTAGTGTTTAATTAAAAAACTATGAGAACACGTTCGAACATCAAAAACAAAAACCCAAGAACAAAAACTTCCGTAATATTTTGAAGCCTCTGTTATGGCAGATCCAGTAGAGTTGCTGGATACAGCAGTGGACGAGACAGATTGGCTGCTTGTGTGTATTTTCAGTATGGAAGGGTAGGAAGAAACAGTTAAAATAGAAACAAAAAACTTTTAAAACAGGCTTCCACTACGGTTATGGAGGCTCAGTAAAATTTCATTTAGTTATTAATTGTTTGTTGCAGGTGTTAGGGATAATGCGAACAAGAGAGACCTGCTCACATGGGTCAGGTGGTGGAGACAGAATAGTAAAATAACTTAGGAAAAATGACAATGACATGAGGGCTAGTTTCAGAGTGTTACGGAGGATGTGCAAGGGGGTGCCTTAGCCACACTTGTGGGATCATACTTTGTATCTAGGTTTGTTGAGACTTGGTAAACTAGGTTTTAAGGATACAAAGAAATATGATACTATTTTGACGTTTCCCTCTCTAGCTGTTGAGACAGCAGTAGTAGCTTTGACAATCAGAACTTTCCTCTGCCAGAAACTGGGGTAAGCTCTTGACATGCTTAATTTTAAAAATTCTGACAATCAGTTAAGTCTTATCCTTGTTTTCCAATGAGGAAATGAGGTACAGAGAGGTTTGGTAACTTCTCCAGAGTCACACATGTGAGATCTATTTCATATGGGTAAGTGTTAGAGCTCATATTTCTTTTTTTTTTAATTTTTTAAAATTAAAAAAATTATTTCTGAGAGACAATGTGAGCAGGGGAGGGTCAGAGAGAGAGGGAGACACAGAATCCAAAGCAGGCTCCAGGCTCTGAGTTGTCAACACAGAGCCCTAGGTGGGGCTTGAACCCACGAACCGTGAGGTAATGACCTGAGCCGAAGTCGGATGCTTAACCAAATGAGCCACCCAGGTGCCCCTAGAGCTCACACTTCAACCAGGCAGTGTAATTTGGGGTTTCTTGCTCATAAACACTCCTTGAGCATTTCCCTGAAGTCAGCAGCAGTAGCTAGCTACCGATAAAAACAGGTTAGTGCCAGAGTTAACAAACAAATAATAGCTTTAAAATTTATTAAAGTAGGATACAAATGCCAAACAATACACTTTTTATCACAGTTACAGAATGCAAAATTAGGTTCAACAAGTAGAAGATTTGAGAAGTTAGATTTCATTCCAGCTAAGGAAGAATGATTTTATTTGTTCAGCACACAGTTTATCTGCTGTGTATTGTGTCCACCAGGCACTCTCCTAGCTCTTGGAAGTATGGTGGTGAACAAACCAAACTCTTAAGTACTGTTTAGAAAATGAGGGGCGCCTGGGTGGCTCGGTAGGTTAAGCATCCAACTTTGACTCAGGTCATGACCTCATGGTTCGAGGGTTCGAACCCCGCCTAGGGCTCTGTGTTGCCAGCTCAGAGCCTGGAGCCTGCTTCAGATTCTGGGTCTCCCTCACTTTCTACCCTTCCACCACTCATGCTCTGTTTCTCTCTCTCTCAAAAATAAATCAACACTAAATTAGAAAAAAAGAAAATGAACTGAGGTAGGATAGAGACAGACAATATTGGAGGCCCTATTTTATTTTTATTTTTATTTTTACAAATAGTTTATTGTCAAGTTGGTTTCCATATAACACCCAGTGCTCTTCCCCACAAGTGCCCTCCTCCATGCCCATCTCCCCCCCACCTCCCCCATCAGTCCTTAGTTCTCAGCATTCAAGAGTCTCTCATGGTTTGCCTCTCTCCCTCTCCCCCACTATTTCCTCCCTTCTTCTCCCCCATGGTCCTCCGTTAAGTTCCTCCTAATCCTCCTATACGTGCAAACATATGGTATTTGTCCTTCTCTGCCTGACTTATTTCGCTCAGCATAACACCCTCAAGGTCCGTCCATGTTACTACACATGGCCAGCTTTCATTGTTTCTCATTGCCATGTAGTATTCCATGGTATAGATAAACCACATCTTCTTGATCCATTCGTCTGTGGATGGACACTTAGGCTTTTTCCATGTTTTGGCTATGGGTGAGAGTGCTGCTGTGAACATTGGGGTCCATGTGCTCCTATGCATCAGCATTTCTGTATCCCTTGGGTAAATTCCTAGCAGTGCTATTGCTGGGTCACAGGGGAGTTCTATTGTTAACTTTTTGAGGAACCTCCACACTGTTTTCCAGAGGGGCTGCACCAGTTTACATTCCCACCAACAGTGTAGGAGGGTGCCCGTTTCTCCACATCCTTGCCAGCATCTAGAGTTCTCTGATTTGCTCCTTTTAGCCACTCTGTCTGGTGTGAGGTGGTATCTCAGTGTGGTTTTGATTTGTATTTCCCTGATGAGGAGGGATGCTGAGCATCGTTTCATGTGTCTGTTGGCCGTCTGGAAGTCCTTTTTGGAGAAGTGTCTGTTCATACCTTCTGCCTATTTCTTCACTGGGTTGTTTGTTTTTCGGGTGTGGAGTTTGGTGAGTCCCTTCTAGATTTTGGATATTAACCCTTTGTCTGATATGTCATTTGCATCTATCTTTTCCCATTCCGTCGGTTGTCTATTAGTTTTATGGATTGTCTCCTTTGCCTTGCAGAAGCTTTTAATCTTGATGAGGTGGAGACGCTACCTTAGATGGAATGACCCAGAAAGCCCCTGAAGAGGTGACATCAAGCTAAGACATGAAGGATAAGGAAGGGCGAGACATTTTGATGAGCAGAGCAGGGAATTCGGAGGAACAGTGTGAAAGAAAACCCGCAGGTGGAAGGAATTGAGGATGTTAAAGTGGTGGCTGAGGCCTAGTGGGTCAGGATAGTGTGGCAGGGGGTTGTATCAGAGAAGTGAGTCTTTGTGGATCATGGACAGGAATTTGGATTTTTTTTAGCGTTTTTTTTTTTTCTTTTAGTCTTTATTTATTTATTTTTAGAGAGAGAGAATGAGAACACAAGCAGGAGAGAGGCAGAAAGAGAGGGAGAGAGAGGATCCCAAGCAGGCTCTGTGTCATCAGCCGGGAGTGTGATGCAGGGTTCATCCTCTCTGCATATCTAGATTTCAGTGTTCCCCCTTTTCAGTTATTTGCCTCACTCTGATCTTTGTTGGCCAGCTCCCTCTATGGAAGATCTTTTTTTGGAAAATGTCACTATGTTAACTGTAATATGAACCATGGTGTTGGATGACTTGTGTTCCATGTACTTGAAATTCACGCTGCTCTTACTGTGTAAAGCAAGGACTGTTTGCTTGACTGTTCTTTTATTTTTAAATTGTTTTCTTATTGAGGTGATTCTGATAAACTTTTTTCATAATACTGGTGTGTTCTCACTGGGCCTGACCTTTGGCTGAGAACCACTGGCGGAATGTGCCTTAAGGGGAATGACCAGGGTTATATTGCTGGGGCTTCTTTGGTGGAGTGAGCAAACAATGAAAAGATAAGGGTGAATTATTGGACACAACTTTGAAGGGAAGCTTTCCATTTTCTTGTCCACATATCTTTCTTTTTTGGAAGGTTGTCTCCTGGTTTTCAGTCTGGTGTAAAGGGATGTTAGTATCTTACAATGAAGTATTATCTCCAGATCTGTAAGGAGTTGTGAATGATGCTTCCACATTCTGTAGGTTGCTTCGTGTGACTTTTTTTCTTTTGGCATTTCAAGTCCGAGCGAGCAGTCTGGTTGTGCTTGTTTTTGTGTGAGCTGTCCCCCCGGCCACAAGTGTATTCTACGTTTTGATCAGTCACTGGAGCATGCAAGGTGTCTTCTGAGACCGTTAAGTTATCTAGAACCACAGTTGAGAACCGGTGCTGATGGAGGCCTTTTTTCTGCATCTCATGTTTTGGGAGGGGGGACCACTTTTTCCTTTCTTATTTTTCTTTCAGCATAAGAGAGGGTGCTGGGAATGTTTCAGTATTTGATAATTGTAAAAGACTTGTTAACATGATGTTTTGTTACCTCTTTCCAAAGAAATGTTACCTGTTGAAAAAAATTAATAGTGAAAATTTATATGATACCGAATTTGAGGAGCACTGATGAAATGTCAAATAGAAGAAAGAAAAAAAACTGCACCCAGGACTTTTCTCCTCCACAGATCAGGCATCTTTTACCTGATGAACTTGACATATTTGTTAGCCTTTGCTTTGGTAGTGAGAGGAGTGGTATAGTCCCTGCCCTCATATAGTCAAGTAGGAGGCAAACATTGAAAAGACAATGAAACAAAAGTTAACTATGCAGTAGCAAATAGTGATGAAAAAGTAGCCATTTACTGAGCACCTTAACATGTGCCTGTGCACATTTTTCACAGCAAGTCATATAGTTACAGTTTTGTATTCTGCTTTTTTTTTTTTTTAAGGTTATTTATTTATTTTAAAAGAGAGTGGGCAGGGAAGGGGCAGAGAGAGGGAGAGAGAATCTAAGCAGGCTCCCTACTGCCGACGCAGAGTGTGTTGCAGGGCTCAAACTCAAGTACTGTGAGAT